GTGAGTGTGAGTAGAGAACTGAACCGCCGTTGGTGTAATGTGTACAGCCTAATGGGTGTATTGCACGCTCATGCTTTGAATGAACATGTGACAGGAGAGAGGGTGCGACAGTATTATTCTACAAGCCTGTATCAATTAGTGTCATTACACTAAGCAGAGGGCCGAGGACATGAAAGCAGCACTGAAGCCGTGGGTGCGGTTTGTCCTTATGAAGGCTAATTATGTGTGTGTGGGAGAAACAGGAGCGAGAGTGAGAGGGGACTTCAACATAACGCTGACGCTTTTTAAAAGCAGCGTTGAGCAGCACATGCGAGGACGGTCGGCGCATTTCAGCAACTCTCTCATCATACATTACTTATGAAATGTGTTTTGTTTGTTAGAGCTGCAGCACATATGGTATGAATGTTTAGGCTTGTTGTATAGCTGGAAGATGATGATTCCTTCCTGGGAAATCTGCATCATAAGTGATGTTCAAACAGGAATCTCATTCTTCTCAAAACAGTTGTTCATGTTAGCCCTGCATCATATCACACAGATCGCAGGCCAAGAGAGTGATCCACGCCTGAAGGACAACATACAAGAGCTCAGGCTGTCTGCAAAATGTCATCATGCAGCACACACACGCATAAACACACACACACACACACACACACACTGAAAGCCAAGTTGTTAATTGTAAATGACGTATCACATATTTTCACTCCTCACTGGTTCCTTTGCAGTTCACTAGATCCGCAGCTGTGTGTCCTGAAATGTACAGTTGCCCTTTCATCCGAGACATGCCCCAAACTAGAGCCTATATTTGGATGTCTTTGAAAGCAGATGGGTCTGTGGGGAGCTCATTGTATTGGAATGTGTGGTGGGAGTAGAGTGGATGCCAAATTGGTCAAATGACAGGCCTGTAAAAATGTACGGGCTGCATTTATTTTAGTGTTTCTGTATCCAGAGATCTAGTGATCTTGACTGTGGCTCTTGAGTGAGAAAACACATCTGATTATGACATGTAGGAAATGTTTGCAACTTTCTATTGCAAGGCAAATGGGTTTTGCTTCTCAAAACACTTTGATGCATCTAACAGCAAACCAGTTTCACAGTTCGGTGGAGGTGTGCATGGATCATATGGTGAATGGACAGTTGTTGGATGAAGCGCCCATGCAGAGGTGGCAGTAAACTACCTGACTGGAGATGAGGTCCTCGCAGACGGAGAGAGCCATCTGGATGGCGTTGGGCTTGTGCGTGACGGAGATGGCGGTCAGCTTGAATTTGTCCCTGCCGTAGACCTGGTTGGCCTGGGTCACGGCATCTTTGAAGACCTGCTCGTATCTCTTCTGGCTCAGGACGGCCCCGATGTTCACGATTTTCGGCTCGCAGCCGGCCCGCGCGCAGGAGCACGAGAGGAGCACCGCCAGCAGAAACAGACGCATCGTGCGGACCACCAAACGGAGCAGTGCAGCCCGGTCGCTTTTCTCCCCGGTGGCGGGTCGGCTCGACCAGCTTCTGGACAGCGGCACGGCTCAAGCCAGTTGAAATGCGCGACTGCAGACACGATCCAGGTGGGCGGCGTGAGCAAAGGGAGGGAGGCCAAAGAAAAAAGAAAAAAAAAGGAAGGAAGGAAGGAGAAAACTGAAAAAAAAAAATAGGTGGATTTATGTGCAATGCGGAGGAATGTCCATGATCATATTAGGGGCAGCCTGTCAACCAGGGACGTTCAAACCGCATTGTCCAGCTTTTTTTTCTTTTCTCCCCCCGTCTTTCTCTGCAGAATTGCTAAAACCTCCCTATCGGGTTTAAAGAGTCAAAGCATTGTCCACGCTTCCAGGCGGCTTCCTCTCCGGGGTGTGTATCGCTCCCTCCAGCCGCTGCTCCGTGCGCTCTGTGCGGACTGATCACACCGCTGCGTCGCTGGCTGGCTGGTCGCTCCGGGCTGAGCGGCTGCTGTCCTTGGTGCTGACAGCTGTGCATGCGCGCCGCGGCGGTACTGCGCGCTCCCGCCGTATCGGCTCCACGCTCTGGGTTTTGCGCGTTGGCGTGCTGCTGCTGCTGCTGCTGCTGATGGTGATGATGCTGGTGATGATGCTGGAGTAGAAGCCGATCTTATGAAAAATAAATGTGCTTTCTTGCTCTATATACACGAAAGGCGAGATCGATGAAGGTGGCGCACATGCAGCGTTAGGTTGCGGATCTGCAGGGCATGAACAGTCTGCGGAGTGAACTCAGATGAATATGTGGGCTTCGTTAATGCGTGTGAGTTGCAATGGGAACAGACGGTTGTGCGATTGGCCCTTCTAATAGCCTGGTTGCACAAGAGCAGATGGAGGGAGGGGTGTTTATTCCAATGTAGCGGGGTTTCAGGTCAGAGTTGGGCCACGGATGGACACGGACTTTGATGTGACTTATGTGGCTCCAAACTGGAAGGGAGAGTCTGAGTTGTCTCCTCGGACAGCTCATTAATCACGCAGCATGTCAGTACCATCCGTCTCTCCGGCCGTCACACTTCAACACGAGCGGACCCGCCTGTAGTGTGTCGGTAATCATGCGTGTGTGTGCGGTCATGGAGTCGGATCAGACTGTGGTATGGATGGACGTTGTGTAATCTCTGACCCCGTGCGTTAGGAGTGTTTAAGTAACTGTTAGGATCCCTGCAGCAACAAACATGAGCAGAACAACCTTCCGTGGTTACCTTGGAAACAAGACTTTTCTTCCCTCCTTTTTTTTTTTTTTACAACACGCGCACGTGCACACGCGCGCGCACAAAGGGGATCTGTGCACGGAGGAAATATTGTGTGTCAGAGCCGACAGGGAGTTTATTCATCGCAGGGGGCCGTCGAAATACATTAACAAAACGGACATGCACACTAAAATATAAAGCCAAAAAGACTTAGACTTAAGAATAGTCATGAGACTCATTGAGTGAACTAGTCAAACAGCTGTTTAGCATTTTGTTTTAACTATTAATAGTCAATTATTTCAGTATTTTCTCCCAAGGGGATTCACATTGTGCGTTTATTTCTATTAATATCAACAATTGCTGCGATTGAAAAAGGTGTTTTGTAAATGAGGCCAGTATAAAATCACCCAACAGTGTTCTGAATTATAAATCACACAACACAGTGGTGTCTCTCTGTGTTGCAGTGAGCTGATAAATTAATCACAAGGCTGAAGAAATCAACAGTCATCAGCTGCTGGCTGTGTGCTTCCAAAATGAGCTCCTCTCAGATATGATTGGGTAAGTTTTGTTGTTTTCGTTTCATAACTTAAGACAGGAGAAACAAGGGAAATGTGAGTATTATGAGTATCTGGATGAATCAATCCTCACCCCTTTATTATAACATTTTCCTGCAAGGAAACCATTTCAGACTAAGTTGTGTGTAATAGAAAACCTGGGTGTTTTGTCAAGAATTGACCAGACAGTAAAATAAGTGAACAGGGAACAGCAGGGCTTGTGCACATTCTACAATATTGTTCACATTAATACCATTTTGAATTCAATATGTTTACTTGTCCTTGTTTCTATTTGTTTGGTTGTCAAAAAAAGTATACAAAATAGTTTAAGCATAACATGATTCTTGACCTTAGAAACAGTAGCTTTACCATAAAAATGTCAATTTCCACAACTTTCAACCTCATCTCACAGTCTTCATCAGCAGGAGAAAAGCAAACAGTCTTGTTTTAAGCTTCATGACTATCTATGTATTTTTTTGCAAATATTACACACAACCGTTTTTGCCAGAGATGTAGGAATATCTTCTCAAACCCTAAAAGTCTCCAGATATGGAAGTCCATGTCTTCCAGTAAACAGTGACAAAACATAAAGAGCACATAAAAACACAGTAATAATATAAAATTGCCATCATCACTATACCAACTCTCAAAATCAAGCAAAACACCCATAAAGGCAACACAACAATAATATAGTTTTAAAGGGAAAATAAAATGTTTAGTATCTATAATCTATAAATGTGTCTAGAACAGAAAATTTGAATATATTTGGAAGAAACTGAGGCTGATTGCTTCCAGGATTTTGCTAAAATGAGTCACAAAAAAAAACACAGCCTCCAAAACGCCAGCCACAGAGAAGACGAGTCCTTGTCACTGTCAAACCACTAACAGTAAAAATAATGGTGTTGAACAGAGCCCCTAATGATTTCCCTCCCAGTCGCTGCGTGACTGCCACTGGCAGTTTGGAAACTCACCACTTATTGGATGGCCCTGACTCTTATTAAATGAGGTTATGAAGCCCTTCTCTTCCTCTCCTCCAGCCCACTCGCCCACCACTCACACATCAATAGAGCTGGACCAATCTGCTCTGCAGCCATTATATAATAAGTTTGCTTGTTTGCTCCTCCAGTATTAAGACTCTCCAGCTCAGTGAGACCAACGCACAAAAATAAACGCAGGCAGTCTAGCACACAAAGATCACTGCAGGCTTTTAAACTTAAGTGTATTCCACAGAGGGATGCACACACACAAGGACACACACTTGATTTCACACTTTGAGTCGTCCGCCCACACAGAAGCAATACAGACTCATACACCGCCCACATAGTCCTCTGCAAGGCGACAAGAGGGACGTTGATGTGTGTGTGTGTGTGTGTGTGTGTGTGTGTGTGTGTGTGTTTTCAAATTGGTGTTGTTTAGATTAATGCCAAGATAATCATTAGTCATTCAGACAGTCATTACCAGTGGTTGGGAAACTTTTCTGGCTAACAGTTAAAATATAACTGAATAAATAATATCGTTAGTTGAATAATTCAAATACAGTGTAAAAAGAAATTTGTATATAAAGTTTTATACCTAAAATTGTTATATACTTTTTTCCCCCTTTATTGCCAGTTGTCAAAATAAATTAAAACTCGAATTAAGGCTGCAGTAGCTCAGTCTGTAGGGA